AATGTTGGTAAAGTGAAACTGAGTAGATACACGGCTCAACTACTTGTAAGGGATCTGGCAAACAGGGGTACGACATAGAATGCGACATGTTTCTGCGAACGAATTTACTATCTGTTTTGTGACCTTATTCGCCTGTGTAATGTGTATTTAGGCCAATGTTTTGAAATGTTATCATTTGGGATGTAAGGCTTGAAAAAGACATTTGGTCGAAACACATGTGTAGCCAATTCAAAAGAAGATAATTCAAAATAGTTCCCATTGTTTATCCCATTACAATGCTTACCTTTACATCGTCGCTGTTGTGAGTTTGATGCCAGGCATTTTGCAAATTGCCTAGGCATTTTGCAAAATGCCCGAGTATTCACTTTCCCTGTAACATATACATTGCTGTCATGTGTGCTAAAGATGCATGATAAAAATGTGCCAAATAAACAGCACTGACGCTATTATACGCCGACCGCCGTAGTACATTGCAGAAAGGGAACTGCAAAGATTGATCGGACATCCCGTGCGCTTTTTATTTTTAGTGTGCAATAATGCATATTAGTGGTAGACAGTGTCTGCTGTGGCTCAGCCCAGCCCCACACAGAGTGCCGGTATACACCGCTGTATGACGTCGTTTGTGTGTGTGACAAATGTCTTGTCCCTTTCAAACCATGTTCAAACCACACACCGAGGTTGTTGACAGTGTCTGAGCAGGTGATGATTGAACCGGCGAATTTGATGTTGGCTGATGGAATGCAATGGGTCATCTCTTATGAGCCGAGCACGATGAGCTGGGTTTTTGCTGCGTTGATTTTTAGACCATTTTTGCTGTACCAATTGTGTGCTACACACTCACCTGACCAGGAATGCTATTGACCTAAAAGCTCTTTGAGCGACCCGACAAGCTGAGCCAGCTCACTTGGCTGTCCCATGACAAACAGCTGTGAGCCGGACGTCGTCGGCAATGTTGCGTAGTGTAATATTCGCAACGTTGCGTAGTGTATTCATGATAATAAGCTCGGACCCAGCCCTTATGTTAAAATGTAGGTACATTAATCGTTATCATCATATTGGACTGAGCTGTGAAAGATTCATGCTTCAAGCCCTTATCATAATAAGGAGCACTGGTCAACATCTGTCCAATGTTTACAGCCCTGGGGGCCGGGGCCGTGCATGGCGCTGATCTGATGGTGCACGCTCGGTGTCGACGTTAATTCCATGTGATGATTTTGTGCAATACGGTGGAGATAATACCGAGGCCTGGATCTAGGTATAGGTAAACAGCGGAAACTGAGGCAATGCGTCGTCTGGACGGTGCTCTGTATTTCTGCAAAGCTCTCAATACTAAGAAATTAGACATGACAGAAAATGATGCAATGCACAGAAAAGGTTTTGGGCGCAGAATAAGCATCTAAAAATGAGTTTCATATAAACCACGCAATTTAATTCTTAATCTTCGCCCCAGTGGGGGGGGGGGGGGGCATATGTTACCAACCTGTCGCGTTTTTTTTTTTGCGTGTGAATAAAAAACCGTGGCGCGTAGCGTCGCACCGCTTGGGGTAGCTTTTGGTACATCAATTTTGGACAATGTGTGAAATTTTTGACCCCAGGTCATGTCAGGTCAGGTCACCAGGTCAAGTTAACTGACCAAGCCTAAAAAAGTTTGCAATCATGTCCAGCCTGCAGTGTTTGTCAGAAAGGTTTTAAACTTGGTGGATTGCATGCTGTTATAGGCGCCTACAATTTGTATATCTCGATTTTTTTTTATATCCGTGACCTAAGGTCAGGTCAGTGGCGTGACATTTCCATTACAAGTCAATGGAGAAAATGAAAATGCCTCTAGATCCGTGTTTACGCATAGGAGCAGTCCAAATATTTCAGAATCACAATGATTTAGTCCACTCGTGATGACCAAGGTGTCATTTTTGCTGATAGCCTCTAGAAAGGTCATCCGAGGTCATTTGAGGCTACAAACAGTTTTTTTTGCCAATAACTGGCGATTGGAAAGAGATAGAACGCTGGGGATGATCTCATTGTGTTTGTCTTGTTGAGACGCATCGATAGATATGCAACATGACCTTTTCCGGTCAGGTCATGACCTTGACCTGAGGTCAAATTTTCAAGTTGACCTTTCAAGGTCAAATTATAGTTCATTCGACGTGTCTCGGCGAGGGGAACACGATTCTGGCAATAGAAATGTCGTGGTTTTTTGTAGTCAAAAGTTATTGTCGAAAAACACTTCGTAAAAACAGCTATTTTAGGAGTTTTTGCCTTCTGGAGGCTAAACCGTTGACCTGAGGTCAATATTGATAATGACATTTTCAAATGAAGAGTTCAAAAGCTATCGATTGCTGTTCCATGCGTTTTTCTAGCTACCATAGTTCCTGAGATAGCGGCATGTTTTCTGAAAAATATAATGACAATTGGCAAATTTTGACCTTTGATGACCTCTGGTGACCCCAATATTGCTCTAAGGTGAAAAATGACCGAAATACCTTCAAACGTACGCATTGAGAGCTATCGACTGCTTTATACCGCGTCATTCTAGCCCTCTTAGTTTTTGAGTTGGAGGTGGGTGGTAACATATGTCCCCCCCCCCCCCCACTAGGGCGAAGTTGGCCGAGACCGCCACTGGGGCGCGGGTTAAGTATACGGTGTGTACTGTGTATACCTACGGTGATGCTGACCGTATACACTCGTAAGTAAAACGACCAAACTGCATGGCTCAATGTTAAACAAATAATTGTTATAGCCTATAGGCTATAACAATTATTTGCGCGGGTTAAGTATACGGTGTACTGTGTATACGGTTATACCTACGGTGATGCTGACCGAATACACTCGTAAGGAAAACGACCAAACTGCATGGCTCAATGTTAAACAAATAATTGTTATAGCCTATAGGCGTATCACTTATAAGAAATGAGCCTTTTTATGTGATGTAAACGTTGAGCAAATAATAAGAAGTATTATTTGGGAATAAAAGTGCTTTGAAGTGAACATCCCACCGGCATCTAAACTGAACATTAGTTTTGAGTTAAGATAGCCAAAGTTGGGTCCCTAGCTGTCAATTACCAGTTTGAGCACTCATAACATCGAGAAAAGCTTTAATTCCGAGATATTTAATTTAAAAAATGCAGCACTTTTGATTCAGATGGGCTAATGCATTTGAATGCCCCCCTAGAATTCGTGACGTCAGTGTAGATCTAACGAGTTTAATAGCTTAAACTAAAAGCTTGGTAACACGTGGCGGCACATACTGTTTTACGCGCAACATCTGAAGCACTTTTAGGCTGCCAATTTATTGCTTCCGAATGACGTCATAGAAACAGACATCGATGTTAAAAAAAATAAACAAAAGTTTAAGTGTAACATCTTAAAAACCGGTGAACAATTTTCGTTGAAATTTGGTAGATATTCGTTTTGCTCTTTCTGAATAGAGCGACTTCACTTTTATTCCAATTCATTAACATTTTTGAAGGTGTGAGGGTAATAAATGTATAGAAGAGGTGGGGCAGCTCAGTGACAGCCCGCTCACAGTTTTAACCCTCGCCGGCCGAGGGGGGGGGGGCGGGTGCCGCCCCCCCCCCATAGGGTTTTTTTCGCGATAGCTCCGAACACGCTGGCGATAGAGAGCTGAAACTTGGCATACCTGATCTTTGATCCAAGCCGCATCTTTTGACACCTACCGCATTTTTGGGTCAGGTCAGGTCACTGACCTATGACGTCATAAGTGAACCTCTGCACGGTCTTCAGATGTCGCAACTTCGCAACGCCCTCACTGCCAGAGGAGATGTCACAGGGAAATGAAACTTGCAGGATCTAGTATCCATTATGAGTCTCACAACTTGTATATCTCGGATTTTTCCTATAGGTCATATGAGGTCAGGTCATTTTCGTGACCTCCCCATTATAAGTCAATGGGGAAAAATGAAAACTGCTATTTTGGCGCCGGGAACGATCTCCAACTATCTCAAGCACACAGAATCGTGATTTGATGCACTCCTTGCAAGGTTAGATGCGTCACTTTTGCAATGTTGACCTTCCGTGACGTCATTTATGACGTCATCAAGGTCACATTAGTTTTTCGTCAATAACTCCCGATCAAATTGAGCTAGCGAGTCGAGAAAGCCACCAATGGACTCAGGAAGACCTGCCGAATCGAATGATATGCGACATGACCTCTTTCGACCAACTTCGTGACCTTGGGGTGCTGACCTGACCTTGACCTGAGGTCAACACCCTAAGTTGACCTGACCCGAACAAAAAGTATATCATTCGACGCGCCTGAGCGAGGCGAGCACGATGGTGCCAAAATCGCGGCTCTGCGGCCGTTTTTTGCGAAGTTATTCACCAAAAACTGAACCGTACCCTGGGGCACTTGACCTGACCTCAGAGGTCACTGGTTGACCTAGGACCTTAAAATCGGGTACCAATCTCTGCGTCTCGTAACGGCGCACACGCTCGTTTTTTCCGCGACGCGCTAGCTCCACCAGGGGCGAAACGGTGAGGGGGGGTCGTACCCGCCCCCCCCCTCGGCCGGCGCGTATGTAGAAAACCAATAGGTCCGGCGAGGGTTAAGGCAATATCTCGCTCGATGTGTGCCGTCTTTCTTACCTACTCCAAAGCATGTGTAGGAATCTTGCTCTAAAGTATATTTTACTTCATCGTTGCAGAAAATAAACACATGCTTTCCTATCAAAGTTAATACCCATTTGTGTACGCGTAGAGCTATTGAATACATGTGAACACATTTGCATTTTCACCACCACAAAGGTGACTTTACCTGCTTTTACATCATTACGCTTACGATCAAATCACAGAAATTCCCCGATCTTCATATCATGATTAGATAAATGAGAGAGCACTTGCTTATCGTTTCGACGTACAGAGCAGAATACATTTGCGAAGAGAGGAGTGGGAACAGCATACCCGGAGGACAAAAAAAAACAAAACATTTGCAACAACATGATCACTCAGGTGATCTAGTCATAACCTGCGATCTAACACTTGTCTTAAGACTTAACTCCGATCGACTCATAATTCCACCTTCTCTTCCACGGCGCGCAGTTATTGCTGGCGGCCAGGGCGGCGTCCCGGCAGCAGCCGTGCCGGACGAACGCTTTGACGGTGACCAGCAGGCCGACCACCATGGTGATGAAGGCCAGCACCGTGGTCATCACGGGGAAGCCGTAGGCGTCGATAAGCGCGCCGCCCGACACGGGTCCCACGGCCACCCCCATCGTGTACATGGTCTGCAGCATGCTCGAGACGAACGCCTGCGTGGTGAGACTGTCGTCCAGCCCGCGCGCGATGCTAGCGTCCAGCATCACCTTGTAGCAGGGCGTGAACGCGCCGCCGAAGAACACCTCCTCCACGGAGAGGCCGAGTCCGAGCAGCCACTTGGAGGGCTCCAGACCGAGCAGCGGCGACGGCGCCAGCAGGAGCAGACCCAGACTGGAGAACAGCAGGCACGGAGCGATCAGCGCGAATGGCAGACGCGATCGTTCCGCCAGCCAGCCCCAGAAGAAGTTGGCCACGACGTAGAGACTTGTGCTGACGAAGAGGTAGAGCCCGATCATGGCCGGCGTGATGCCGAGCACGGCATCGGCGTAGGGCGCGATGCTGGCGTCCACGGTGCTGAAGTCGGTGGAGAACATGAAGACGGTGGCCATGCAGATAAGGTTGTCGGTGGAGCTGAGGAAGACGAGCAGGGTGCCGAGGAAGCGCGGCTGTCGCCGGTTCGACTCCTCCTCCACGGCCGGCATCAGCCACGAGTTGAAGGCGGCCACGACCAGCATGACGACGCCGAGGGTGTAGAAGGGCGTGCCGAATCCGCCGACGGCGTACAGGCCGCCCCAGAAGACGGGCGTCAGGGCCAGGCCGGCGGTCAGCGAGGAGCCCAGCCAGGCCACGGCGGTGTTGACGCGCCCGGGGAACTGGCTGCCGGCGATCGTGTAGCCACAGGTGGTGACGGCCGCCATGCCGGCCGACTCAACCAGCCGCGTCAGGAAGCAGGCGGCCACAAACAGGTCCGTGTCGGTGATGTGGTACAGCGAGCCGAACACCAGCGTCGACAGACCGGCCACGCTGATGCCGATGTTGTAGAGGCGCGTCACGCCGAGCACGGGCGCCAGCCGGCCGATCACCGGGCTCAGCACCATCTGGCCGATGGCGAAACAGCTGAAGAGCGCACTGATGGTCGTCTGTGGCACGCCGCGCGAGGCCGCCTCCACGGGGAAGAACGGGATCATGACGGCGACCAGCGAGCCGTTCAGGATGTTGGCCAGCGCCAGGCCGGCCAGCAGCTGTTTCTGGGTGGTGGTGAAGCTGGCTGGAGGCGTCTCTTCGCTGCGCAGTGGCACGTCCTCACGGCTGGTGTTCGACATGCTGAGGATGTAGTTGTACTTGTCCTTGGACTGCGTGCCATTAGGCAGGAGACCATTACTTTCCGCCGGCGAGTCCTCCTCTACCATGACGCTAGCGGGAGATGCAGCTAATGAACACAGCACTCGTTTAGCAAAAACGGCTCTCGAAGCGGTCCGGCGATGAAAACACACCGCAGCAAAATCTGAGCACGTGTTGCGCTCAACCAAACGATCACAGGCTACTCTATCACCAAAGTCACCGCGTGCCTGCTGAGCGCTTCCCGCTGCCCACTCCGCACTCGGACCGTCCAGCAAACGGCCACTCAGCACGGTCCTACCGCAAACACGGCGTCCCTTTTTGACACACGATACGCCACTTGTGTGGCCTCCAGTCGCCGCGCGGGGACCACGAGCGGGCTGAACCGGCGCGACCGCCTTCGGGACTGCGCGAGCGGGCGGCGACTAGCCGTGGTTCGCGGTCGGCCGGCCCCGCGGGCCTGCCGCAACAGCGGCGTCACGACACAAGCGGCCCCCCATTGGTGGTCGGCAATCACGTGACTAGAGATGGAAACTGGTCTCCGTTCGAGACGTGGCTTTGATCAACTCCGATCATTGGTAGAGTCATGAGGCTGCCGTCATTAAATGCATTTTGAGGACAAGTGAGTCGATGAGAGAAAGACGTTGGTTGAAATGATGACAGTCTCGTGACTGCGTTGCCTCAAAATCATTGTATCTACCTCATTTCTTCCTCTTTCGAACACTAACTCCGCTACTGAACATCCGCAAACAGGGCATAGTTATGCAACATGTATTTGCAAACAACGTAGCCAGCCTTGAACGATATGCTGTCATTTGTGAATGCGAAATCGACGTGAACCGTCCCGCTGGCTGTTTTTTGCGCATACAAAATATTGACACACTTGACTTATAGTTATCACAAGTGTGTGTTCTGCAGTGAAAAGTGTCCCAAGTTCAGTCTTCTTTTAAACGAACGACACCGACAGTTGACAAACAAAAAATGTCATCTATGCAAACAGTAAACCGTCTACTCATCACAGTACCATTTTTTCTACATACCGGTCACGACGTGGAAGGTGGAACGTTTCGTGAGCTTCAGCCTCGCGGAAGAAACGAGGGTGTGCGCCGTTACAAGACGCAGCTCAATGCCCAATGTAGAGGTTTTAATTCAACTGGTGACCTATCAGGACAGGTCAAAAGCTTTTGCATATAGGTAGGCGTCCGATTAACAAAAAAAAAAAAAAATAATAATTTGCCCAAAATTGTCACGGGAATCGTGATTTTTGCACCATTAAATTTGTAATGTTCAGGCGCACCGAGTGCTTCAAATTTTAGGGAAACATTCCCCCATTGTGCCGCAGTGGTGAAGCCGCGTGATCGACCTGACCTCACATGATTTTGATGAGCAATTCGAGATATGAAAGTTGTGAGTACCTACTGAGCAGGCTGGGCCTGTAAGTTTCATCTCCTGCGAAATATTTATTTAACTGAGGTCTGAGGAAGTTGCGAAACTGCAACATTTTAGTACCTTGCAGCGGTCACCGCATGGCATCATAGGCCGGTGACCTAACCTGACTTGACCTGAAAATGTGGTTGGTGTCACAAAGATCCGACTTGAAGCAAAGTTCAGGTTTGCCGACCTTCAGCTCTCTATCCCAAACGAGTTCCGAACAATCGCGAGAAAACCGTGTCATGGGGATGGCACCATTCGCCTTCGGCCGGTGAGGGGTTTACTAACACCTATTTCAGTCTCTCATTCACTCTATTTCCCATTAAGTTTCATGCCGTCTCCTTATCTTCGTCTCAGTCTCTCCCCACTCTCCACTCCTCTCTCTCTCTCTCTCTCTCTCTCTCTCTCTCTCTCTCTCTCTCTCTCTCTCTCTCTCTCTCTCTCTCTCTCTCTCTCTCTCTCTCTCTCTCTCTCTCTCTCTCTCTCGATATCTCGATATCTCTACCTTTAGCTTTATCTCTACCTTTAGCTATTTCTCTCTGTGTCTCTACTTATCTTTTTTTTAATTTAGTCCGAACCTTTTGATGGGAAGGATTCACGAGGACAGAGCCACCGCTAAGCGAAGCTTGTTGCGATGACCCTGCCCTCTACCCTCCGATCGCGCAATTCCGATTCTATGGCAGAATTTAGAGTCCAAAGTTTAACGTGCGCACAAAGCCGCGCACGGCCGGTCCCCTCACTGACTTCGCCTGGCTACTGCCTGCCACCAACCGCAACCATACCTGTCAGGAGGCCCATAAATGTCGAGCGCCCGTCGCGCTTCGAACCCGGACTGTCATAACCGGGAACGCGTGCTCTCACCACGCGGAGTCCAACGCTCTAACCAACTGAGCTGCGGGACCGGCTACGGGATCTTTGGGCTTTGTGTTTGCCGTTTCTGTATCTGTTTCTGTCTGTCTGTTTGTCCATCCTTCAGTACGATATCTATTCATCATTTACCCACATTGCTGAGTAACAACTAACAAGTAACGTTCATGCCATGCCAACCGAGTGAATGAATTTCGGGGACTCGATAGCACTCGCTTTTATAACTGCTCAATCATCGTTAGCTTTTATCCTCTAACTATGCTACCTCGAGTGTAAACTGTTGATCTGATTTGATCCAGAGGTCCAGACCTTAAGTTGGACATTACATAATGCGCGCCTATACCCTAAAAGCCGCGGGCAATGACATGGGACAAAGGGTTACGAATCGAATACCTACCTATAGGTACCAGTCGTTGTTTCAAGCTATGGTTATTTATTTTTCAAATGTAATAATGAATGACAGAATAATGTTTAACGACCCTCATTATGCACTATATACGGTATTACAAATATACTTGCTACAGATATGAAACTGAAACGCAATCCATGCCCTGCAGATGAGAGCGTTTATCGCCAGAGGCATTTGCGGCGGCTCTCGTTACCAAGACCAAGCGTATTCGCCGCCTGTGACTGGTATTTGCTCCGAAGCGCAGCCGGTCTGGCGGTAATCGATCCTCTGCGCATGGGGAGCTGGTCTGTCGCTGGACTTACTCGTTGCTGGACAGACAGGGCTGCATGGGAGTGGGACTTCTAAGAGCAGGAACCCCGAGAAACACTGGATTACATGGAAAGGAGACACCGATATATGCTGAGATAGCAGAGGGGGAAATAAGAAATATGGCTTGACATCTCTTCGCTCACATCAACTGACGATTTATGTTTTGTTTTGGTATTCTTCTTTCATAGAAATTCATATATATATATATATATATATATATATATATATATATATATATATATATATATATATATATATATATATATATATATATATATATATATATATATATATATATATATATATATATATATATATATATATATATATATGAATATGGAATAGATTAATTAAACATGTGCTTGTGCACCTCAACGGTAGAATATTGGGCATGGTTTTAAGCAGCTGTTTTTACTCGACGGCCAATTTTATGTGCGTCTAGGATAAATACAGTTTTCATGGTTTTCATAGGAAGTTGTATTTCCATAGCACGATGTGCACATACCAACAAGGTTTGAACTTTGAGTGATCTGATAAAGCCGAAAGAAGAAAAACATCGATCGCTGAAATAGCTAAGCATGTGATGTTCGTGTGCCACCTGATGTTCAACTCATTTATTAGCATAGGGTAATCAGAAGACAGAAGGACGATGGCTATTTCGCCCAAAATACCAAAAAATCTCAACACTGGGATTACCATGAGCCTATGAGTTACATCCCACATTGACTGGCGACCGTGATACACAACCGTGATAATTTACCGGAATAAGTGACCGACGTGACTTGGTTGCGGATTGTGCTAAATGACAGGTAATTTGTTAACGGATATATATGACAGCTGTCACCGCTGTTTTGCGCGGTCAATAAGCGACATGTGAACATGACAGTGGGCCTACGACACGACCCAAGTTCGTGTCCTACTGTGTACCGTGCAGTGTTCAATGGAAATATGAGCCGTTTTAATGCTAATAATCTGGCTCACATTCGGTCATTTTTGTTCGATTTGGTGAAATGTGGTTCATAGTTGACTAAGTAGTTTTCAGTACAGCGCCTCGTTTCATAAAGCGAGTCCGTAACTTACGACGGTTTTTGGTCTTGTATTGCAAGCGCATGTGAAGCGATGACGATAGTTTGAATCGTTGAATTTATTTATCTTGCAAGCAAGAACAGAAGAGAAAAGGGGATGTAAATTTATCGCTTCACATGCGCTTGCAACACAAGCCCAAAAACCGGCGTAAGTTACGGACTCGCTTTATGAAACGAGGCCGTGGCTGCCCTAGCTGCTTAGTGCTTATTTACTTGAACTGTTAGGTTTTCATGCATTATTGTCGACCAAACATTGAAACAAAGTCATGACATGGAGATATTTGCTGTAAGAGAGGCTTGGCTTGATTTGGTCAAGTTTGGTGCATTTGCCAGATAACCCAGCTTGTGAAAACGGTTAATATCAATACGATGTGATGTGTGTGTTGACATAAATCCTACGCACGATAGGAGTTCGTGTCCTACTCGAGGATGTAGAGGCTGATCGGGTCCAGATTGCCGCGCCAGGTGATGCTGCCGTCCGTCCTGGCCATCGACAGCTGGTACCACTTGGGGTTCCCGCCGTGTAGAGAGAGCAGCGTGGTGCCCTGTGGCGGCAGGTAGGGCAGCGTCACCTTGACGCCCGCACCGCGCCCCACGTTCTTCACCTCGACACCCTCCAGCGCGCGCGGCTCGACGTCCAGCACCGGCACGTCCCTCGGCACGCGGTACTCGATGACGACCTCCCCGGGCGACTCGACCAGCAGGCGGTAGGTGCTGTCGGTGCGCAGCTGGCGCATCTGCTCGGCCAGCTCCAGGATCGAGTACGGGCTCTGCACGCCCTCCGCGAGGTCAGCGTTGTACCGCCGGATGGTGCTGCGGCGGAACAGGAAACCGGGAGAGTTCCTGAAGAGACGCGTGTAGCCGGGACGCTCGGCCGAGAAGAGGCAGACGAGAGAGAGCGGCTGGCCGGCCAGCCAGCCGAACATGGTCGCGTTGGCGGTCGGGGGGCCGAATTTGTCTCCGCCGCCGA